AAAAGGAATTTTACAGCTGCACATTATTGATTAAATACTGTTTACAAATTGTAATTGCACATATACTTCACCCACCCGGAATATATTTCAGTGCTATCTTTGTAAGGTTTTTAACATTTTTCAAACATTTCAGATTTTTTGTTTTTCTTTCATGCTCAATTTTTTCTTGTAAATTCTGGCGTCATTTGGATAAGTAGATAAATATACAAAAGTTAAGAATTATGTTGAAATCGTTATGTCGAGAAGACGAGAGTAATGATGATTGATTGGTTCGTCTATACAAGAATTTAGTTAGCATCTATTGCATTTTTTGTTCTTTCAATTTGTAAAATTTAAGCTGCAACTTAAGAAAATTTTTTTGTGATTTTACTTCTCTCTATTTATTTAAAACCTAGAATTTAGTTACTAGGTTTTACTGAAGTAGCTGTTAAAAGCTATAACTTGTTAAAAGATTCAAAGACGGGCCAATGATTAAGGAATTACGCTTTTAAAGATAATCCAATGCTGGAAAATGAAAAAGTAAAATGTGGGTGGACAATACGTATTCCCAGTGGTTCTTACTGTTAAACTCCGCGAACGGGCTGGCTGCATGGGCGTTTTCGTGGTTTTTCCCATGTGTAACGTGTATACGATCCAGTTCCGCTTAGAAAGTCCTCCACGAAGGCATCCCTCCCCTTAGGCAGATAGCCGTTGAGGCTTTGCCATAATCACACACACACACACACACTTACTGTTAAACTGCCAATTACCGGAATGCTGATCATTCCACAGAAGCATCAGTCCTGAAAAATGAAGAAAATGAAATGCAAATTGACAAAAATTTTAATTTTCAGTTACTGAAATACTGATTTAGGGCCATTCTAATGTATTTAGAAAATGCACAGGAAAACTGAAAATGATTAATGCTTCTGTAACGCAACCTCTTTATGAACATAACGTTATCGAAGCAGAAGTGCACCAACGAGTGAGCTCTTTGAACCACGATCAATTCTAATCTTGGAAAACGAAAAAGTAAAGTGTGGATGAATTTGCCAGAGTTTCATCTGTCATGAAAACTCGGAATGCGATAGAAATGGGTGTGAAGCGAAATGATTATCTGAAATAAATGATGGGAAAGTCAAACGCTCAAAAACAGTTAGTTCTGAATCATTTTGCTTTTATGTATTAAAAATTGACTCAATTTTGACACCATTCTCTTTGTGATTCACGGCGAAACTATATTTCTTTAAAAGGAAATCGACTCATTTGGTTTCGTTATTGTAATGACATTGTCCTTAGATAGAAAGGCTTCTTCAGAACGTCACGAAGAGGCTTAAATTCTTTGCTGGATAAGGTAATTAAAAATGTGATTTTTTCGGTGGACTAGCATAGTGATGACGAAACTTTTGAGCTTGGCGTGTTAAAACTTGAAAATACTCTAGCTTAACTCTGGTGCCATGTCATGTATAGAATCATCCGTCTTCTATTCGTGTCAACCGTTTACCAAGAATGCAGTGGAACTAACCCAAGGTAAGTGAAGTACATGTTGACAATGACGAGGCTACTGCAAGAGACAAATATTTTCTTATTATGCAATTTTTTGTCTCGGACCATGGCTCGGGAAATGTGTGATACAGGTCACCCAGAATGGTTTCGCATGTCACTTAAGTCATAGTTTCGTCATCACGTGACTAGTATATCAATTACCTTCCAAAGTATCTTAACAAAACTCAAATCTGAAATCTTGCATGGTCCAAGAAGACGTCTTCACGCGTTATTATCCTGAGGTTTTTGTTTACTTAATTTTCGAGAACAGAATAACTTTTTTTTATTTACAATTGATCTTTAAAGAAGAAGGGCTTGAACTGCACCTTGCCACTTACGCACAGGGTATTTTTCTTCTGTCCATCTCAAGGAATATATTAGAAATGTATTTGGAGATCTGTTGAGAAACTCTCGAACGGATAGCTAAGCTTAGAAGTATAAAAAATGATCAAAGAAATAGTTCCGTATATCATAAATGGGATAAAATAATTTACTTACTTAAAAGATAAAATAATTTAAAATATTTACTATCGTGAAATACACAGCAATTTATTACACAAGTTTATACTTTTATATCAATTATTAGTAATCAATGTCTGAGATATGTCAGTGTTTTGGATCATATAATATCTAATGTGTTTTCTCCATCCTTTCTGCATGCCTTCGTGGTGTAACGATAGCACACTCGGTACGTATTTAAGAGGTCCAGGTTTGAGTCCCGGTGAGGGCATTGCACATTCAAAAACCTACTTCAAAAACCATAATGACTATACAGTGGCGCCCGAACTGAAAGCTGGTGGATGATGATTCTTCACCACCATGATTTGGAGATTGGGTCCCCTAATCCCCCGTCACCGTTTAAAAAGGGGGAGTGTGTAAGGTATTGTCTCCCTCCTTTATCTATGCCTTCGTGGTGCAACGCTAGCAACTCGAGAGGTCCAGGTTCGCGTCCCGGGGAGGGCGTTGCTCATTTTTCGTGTTTCTTACTTCAAAAATCCTAATTTCTCTATAAATATACTAAAATAATGTACATACAGACAGAGAGATGATTAAGTTTGCAAACAAAGGATAGCAATTTACGCATAGATAAATATACTGCAGTGTGGCATACGTATTTTCTATTCCTTACGATTTCCTCTAGCTTATATATTTATGTAAGAGTACTTTATGCAATATATATAATATGAATATATGTGATAATAGATTTCTTAGCTTGCCAGTAATGCTGCTATCTAACAATAAGCTATAGGCAATCAAAATTTAATGGAATTAAAAGTTTTACGTGGATTTTCAACGGCATAGGATCGTGCACTTACCCAACACGTGTTTCAAGCTTCAAAGCTTCAGCTGTAGTTATTCATGAAAAAGGTGTATTCCGAAGAGGAGCAGCTGAAAATCAATATGAAAATTGCTATCAATGAGTAATTTTTTGCCTAGACAAAGAATCTGGATATCTGAAACTATTAGTTTTTATGAATGTGTATTCTTCAAATTCTTTTAGAAATAGAACGAATAAAAGTGTTAAGTACCCGACAACTTTTTCTTCTTTTAAAATCTTAGTAACTTAAAATCTTAAAAATAAATGAGAAATTGGGCTATCTTATAAAAATTAACCCCTCACATACTGGTAATTTCGAAACTCAGGCTGGTTCTCATCAATACATCGTACCACCGATTCTTAATATGTTTCACGAAGTCCTGGGAGACTAAGATTTATTACTCGAGAGTCTGCGAATGACGTTTCACACTATATATGATTATCTATTATATTTCGTAATAAAAGTTTCATTGTCAGAATTTAAGGAATAAAAATGTTGATTTCTTCAGAACAGAATCAACGGAGCATTAGCTTAGCTTTTGTAATGACCATACACTATAGATTGTAGCATGATTGTATAAAAATCCTGTGAATATTCGTGTCTAAACACGTCTGAAATCAAACGCGTGAAAAGTGTAAGTTGATAGAGAGGTTATAGAGAGGTGCAAATTGATTGAGTTACTGAGCAAGAAATGAGATCATGTGCGTTTTAGATTAAAAACATACGACTGAAGTTTAGAGCACCATATTAACGTGAAATTTCGTGAACCGTTAGAAACGTAGCACTTAGGGAAGACTCATGGAAAAGTTAAGTGCATATGAGTGGCATAAGAGACTCAGAAGTGATCGAAAAGACGTGACTTTTTTTCCCAAAAGCACAGCCAAAAATAGCAATGATGCAATCAATGTTAAACAGACTGCAAGATGCGATATAGTCCGATTAAAAATTAAATAAGAGACTGATAACTGAAGAATTAAAATTATATTAAAAATATTTGTATAATTTTAAGTAGGGAACTGGACGTAAGAAAAATTTCTGCAAAATTCGTGCCTCACACGAACAGTCGCAGTGAGATTATTTCTGACCAAAAAAGGGATTCCTCTTGCATATTGAATTGACTTACTTCTCTGAGATTTCTGGCTATTTCAAAAGTAAATAGTCAAGTTCAAGAGACGAAGCTTTTCTAATCTAACTGACATGCAGCAGATAGTGACCAGATACTCAGTAGTGTTTCGGGAAGTAAATTCCAGACCTGCTTCCAGAAAAAAAAAAAAAAAATCAATTAAATCTCGTTTATATCAGTGTAGTAAGCAAAGTACTTTGTCAGTAATATAGCGATAATATGCATTACAGTTTCACATATATAAGTTTTAAAATATTTAAGTTTAAACGGCGCATTTTGGGAATTAAATTTTTTTTGCCTTGAATAACGACTGAGCGATGATTCCATGAAATTCGCTTTATGAAAGCGGAATGATCATCCTGATTTTTGGTTATGCATGGTGTGTATGGCAGAAAAAGCTATTAAAAAACAATCATTTCTCATCTGCAGTATGTAAAAGGAATGAAAAGGCCCACATAAGAAATAACCATCGAAATCTGTTGGATGTTGAATCTTGTTTATGAACATTATTTCAAATGCTGAATCACATATTACGAATATACCGGAGAAGATCTTTCTTCCCATAGTAAACAGAAATAAATGTATTTCGCTTTTTACTACAAAATTTGTGTTTACAATTTTAAGGAAGCTTAACTCTAACATTTCTACATTCAGTTCAAGATTCTAATAATTTATATAGTGAAATGAAAAGAGCTTTTATACAATATAATGCTTCCTTACCTTGCAGAAAGCATTAAGCAAAATTATACAACTAATGAATTAAATGTTAGATGTCTACCAAAATGCACATCACATGAAAAGAGCCCTCGAATTTATTAAGTTTAAGAATTGTTACTGTAGGCTATAAACTCTGAGGGGAAGAAGAGGGATTAAGCAATCCCAGTGGTGTTTTTGTAGGTATCAAATTACATTTAAATTTAAAAGTTTCAGTACAAGTTCAGTACAAAGTTTCAGTGGCTATTTTTTTAAATAAGGGTATGAAATATTACTGAAAATATTTTCATAACGTATTACGTAAAACCATATATACTTACTCAAATGTTCTGTGCTTGTTTGCTTGTGACGTAACGACCAGGGAGTTTGATCTCCGAAAACTTTAACTTTGCAAGTATTCGATGGACACTAAAACGTTCCAAAGGAAGAGAGCGAAAACTGAGCAGTAACTATGGCAACAGGGATTCTCAACATATCGATCCCTGGCGTAATTATGTGATACGAAAGTAATACGTTTATCACATTAAAGGTATATAGCGCAATTACTATACATAGCTTCTCACTTACATTAGGCGGTTAAGTGTAAAGAATGAACATCTGAAGCAGAGCTGAGTAAACATTCCGATACAGCTAGGCATCGTTCAATCTGTAAGTTAAGAAATGTGAGAATGAGTAACGAAAGGATTGAAAGAGAAAAGATCTCTGACTGGTGGTGTTTAATTGGAGAGTTTCCAATGGCAGTATAGAGTTATTGATGGAAGCTTTACAAATTCACATTATTCTTAAAAGTCTTCATTTTAAGTTTTAAATATTACTAGAAAATTTTGAAACGTCAATGTTTTCTTTTTCTGAGTTTTGAAAAAGCGTATGAAGTACCCTGATCACGTTTGTAATTTTAATAAGTTTTAGACGAGTATGTAAAGTTTGGCTTGTCATAAGTACTCGAACCCAGGGTCGTTCTATCCGTTTATGTAGAATGATCCTTTTTCATAATTACTACTAAAATTGTGATAAAAGCTCTTTTATTTGAACTTAAAGAATAATCTGAATTTACGCGGGCTCTTTTTATGCCCCCTTTTATTGGAAAAGAACGGATCTTCGTCCCATTTACTTCCTTGAGTTCAGTTTTCAGTTGGACTCTAGCATAAATTCTCGGCACCTCCTTCAGTTACTATCTAATACATTCTGGCCGAAGAATATTCTAATTTTTTTTCCTAGAACCTAAAGTATTATCATTAAAGTATTATTGCATTTACCCGTGTAAAAGTTGTTAGTACCTTCAGCTAAAAACTGGAACATCCATGTTTCGAATCCCGGTGAGGGCGAAACTCATTTCTCGGGTTGTAAGCTCCGATAAATCAAATAGGCTTTACAATCTGACCAAAGGCTTCCTTCGAAACTTCATCACATATCTGTAGTTTGATGGGATTTAGTGTCCACGTTATCTGAGAGACAAAAATTTCATACATGAGAGTGGTAGTTAAGCTGAACTAACTTATCATAATAGGCATTTTAAGCAATAATTCGCATTACGCGACGCTCGGTTTCACAAAATTGTTTTCTTGCATATCAGTGGCTGAAAATTAGTTTGTATCTAATATCTGTTTTTGAAAACTGATAATAAGATATATTTTAAGCCAGAAAGTTTGAGATATAAATGTTTTAATTACAGTTTGTGTCTACAGATTTCTTTTGCACCTCATTATATAAAGAGTGATATTTATTTTGATAGGAGTGAACAGTTTTAACAAAATACATGGATGTAATTTAATTTATTAGAAACGAATAAGCTTGAAAAGTATACTTAAAATAGATACGTCTATGGAAATGTTTCTTTTATTGCTGAATACTTTCATTTTAAAAGTGAAACTTTAGGTTGGGATTTGTCAAAAATATTTTACATTATTCATGAATAACTACTGTATTATGTAGATATTATAACTCATCTATTGAATAACATTCCAGTTATTTAAAATCCGCAATAAAAAGTATTATTTAACATTTTAATCTTCGTATCCCTAATACTGCTGCATTTACCATTTTACACAAGGCCCACCAGCGGCCGAGCGGTAAAGACGCTGAACACTGGTAGTTCGGTCCGAGATTCGAATCGGGCGAACGGGCTGGCTGCATGGCCGTTTTCGTGGTTTTCCCCATGTGTAACGTGTATACGAGTCTGTTACCCTTAGAAAGTCCTCAACGAAGGCATCCCTCCCTTTAGGCAGATAGCCTTCGTTCGATTGCCTTAATTGAGTAATCCAATCCAAAATCCTTTTTACATAAAGAAAGCATTACCAAATTCCCCAAAACTACTAGTAACTTTTGCGCGTCAGAATAAGAGTTGAATTCTTTTTTTCTTTTCTAGAATTAGTGAATTCACATGTTAAAAAATTTAATATGTTTATTTTTGAAGACCATGGCAGAAGAAAATTTTTACTATGTCTGTTTCTTTTAGTACCTCAAAATTTTCCATTTTTATCTCATTATGATGTACCAGATGTACCTATATGAAGTACCAGAGTGCTCATAATCCATAGTTGGGCCATCAATTAATCCTTCTAGCCATAACTGAAACCATTAACCATATGTTATAGAATGTTTAGTCTCATGTACTCACAAACGACTATTTAATAACTGAGCAGACAATCAGCTATGCTATAACTTCTCCAACTCTGTGTCGCTAATAGTCTTAAATGGTAATCCACGTTTTAAATGCATTTTTGAAAACCTTTAACAAATAATAGACTTTAAAAGCTGAAATGTTATGTAAGAATGCGATCACTGACCCTCATAAGTACGACTGTAATGTATGGTGCAGCATTATCTCTACAATTAAGCAAAATAAAACGTGTCCGCCTGAAACATCACGGCAAAACGTCGCGGAGAAATCAACGCAAGGTGAAAACGTCGTGGTACGAAATATCGGGGAAGAAAAGAAAGCAAAGAGAAAAAATTACAGTATCGAAAATAAATCTTTTAAAAAACTTCGCAGTTTAAAAACATCATCGTGGAAAATATCGTGGTAGAAAATAAAGCACTTAAAAATCATCGCGTGACGATAACATCGCAGACATACATTTTTCAAGCAAGGCGTAAAAGTTGTAAAGCCATATTCACATGATGATTTATAAGCGCAAGAAGAAAAAAGGAATATTTTTACTTTTATATTTTATATTTTTTAATGAATTTATAATTTTTTGCTGAAAAAGTAAGCTTAAGTATTTGAAAATTGAGCATGAGTGCAGCTTATAATCAATGCAATTTATAGCACTTAACAGAAATTTAAACTAACACATTTAACTGACAAAGGACATTAATAAATAAATTTTTTTATAAAGGTTTACTGGTAATTTTTCATGAAAAATATAGCATGAAAAAGATGAGGAAAAGGACAATGAGTAATTGCATGCGATTATATCTTTAAAAATTGTTTAATTAATTATCAAATTATTTTCAGTCACGTTTGTTAATCCGATATTCTTTTAGTGAAATTTATACTTTGGTTTGTTTCACTTTATTTTGTAAGTTTTGTTAAAATTTTCATGTACAGGGTGCAGTCAATTATTTGAATGTGGATTTATTAGTTATGACGAAAGTCAGTTATATAATATTTCAGTAGGGGATTTAGATTTATTGGATTATGCAAAAGCAAGCTAGTTCTATCTGCTTAAGGGAAAAGATGCCTTTATAAAGCATTTTCTTGGAAACTGGCGCATGTACACATTAGGAAAATCATGAAAATTTCATGCAGCCTGCTCGTTCGCCTAGTCGAAATACCAGTGTTCAGCGCCAATACCTTTCTGCCGCTGATAGTCAGTTCACCAAGGGAATATTAACGGAAACTAGTTAGTTTTCACACATCGGTCATTAAAAGATTCAAATTTAAAATTACATCCAAAAAATTTTAAAGTTTTTTTTTTTTTTGGCATTGATTATATAATTTCAGCGAACCCTCTTAGTTAATATCTCCTTAAACACGACCATTGTTTCTGAAAATAGAAATAAACACAGGTTTTAATCATTATGCGATATCATCATATCGGCATAAGATTAAAAAAGATATGGAATCTTCAGGGGTCGCTCTAAAGAGAATTCCCTATATTTAACTTTACATTTAGATATTTCTTTTAAGCACTTTAAAAGTTTTGAGGATATATTTTATTCGACATTTTTTTAGTTATTAGCTGCACTTTTATACCATACAGTGAACCATTTCCCAAAGACGATTACCTCCCAAAGTGACTAGGGTACAGCTATAAAACTTTGCTATCAAATCTTATCCTTCTGAGATGACCAGCTTCATAGAAGCGTAAATCATTTAAAAACGTAAATGGTGGCCTTAGCGAGGATTCACTGAACTTAGTTTTCTCATTTAGGTACATTTTTTTCCTTTAGTAAGCATTTACCTTTTTTATTCCTGTATTTGAAAAATTCTGAATTATTTCTAGTTCTTTCTTAACACACATAATGAATCAATTCGGAGCGACGTTCTCTAGGAGTGAATCGGTTTAGGTGAAAGATTGTTCCACATGTTGAGACAGGTAGCTATTTATCATGGCTGTTGCTAAATTGTTGTGGATTTAATTTGGTTTAATTGATTATAGAAAAACACATTAGGGCTATCTGCCTATGGGGAGAGTGAGAGAGAGAGAACGAAGGACGTGGGCACTATCCCCTTATCAAACGGTTAATTAGTATAGCACTACGTCCACCACTATCTATAGCACCCCTTCAAAATACATAATGCCACCTGAAAGGTATTCAACGTGCACGACAAGACACAAAAAAATGTTACAGAGTTACAGATTAATATTCAAGATACATTACTGGTACATTATTGATACAAACATGACAGATGCAGAACTGATAAAAGGCTGATATAATACTGATATTAACACTGATTAATACTGCTACAGTACTGATACATTGATATAACACTGAATATTATTACTGATTAAATGGGAATGATTTTGCATAAGTCGGTAAATAAATCCACGAAATAATACGTTACAGAGACTTAAAATATTGCGAATTAAAATATCAACAAATGAATGTTCTACTGTTACATTACTTGTACTATTGTACTATCTATAGCACCCCTTCAAAATACATAATGCCGCCTGAAAGGTAATCAACGTGCACGACAAGACATACAAAATAACACGTTATAGAGTTACAGAATAATATTCAAGATACATTACTGGTATATTACTGATACAAACATGACAGATGCAGAACTGATAAAAGGCTGATATAATACTGATATTAACACTGATTAATACTGCTACAGTACTGATACATTGATATAATACTGAATATTATTACTGATGAAATGGGAATGATTTTGCACAAGTCGGTAAATAATTCCACGAAATTATACGTTACAAAAAAAAAAAAAAAAAAAAAAAAAAAAAAAAAAAGAAAAAAGAAAAAAAAAGAAAAGCGAATTAACATATTACAGAT